ACACCGGAGTTACCATGTGGGAGGCTGCCTATCAATCACTTCATTGGATTATGATATGAATGAGGAATAGACATTTTACTATGTTAAATCCCTAAAATGTTGAGGTTGTTAAGATTTTAGACTAATATAATAATCCTCTAATTTGCATGATCAATGCTCAATTAGGGCACCTGCATGTGGATTTCTTAAATGGGAGAGCTAAAGCTACAGGGTCGAATAAACTTTATTTAGAAACTCCAGTCAATTTCATGCCTGGATTTTATGCTGATGAAAAGTGACTGCATGTATTCCCTCTCTACCAGCTTCTTCCCTTGCAGAGCTGGCTGACCTGCCCAAAGCTCTCCATAAAAATGGTTTGCTCTGCCACAATTTCCTTGGGAATTAATTTGCCCTTTGTTTTGGCTTATTGACCATGTATATCTCAGGGAAATCTGTTCAATGGCCTAATTTGGCCTGGAATGATCTCCAGATCCACCATTTTGCACCTAGTGATAAGCCAAACCTAGAGAGCACAATCAGTTCAGCACTCTCCACCCACAATACAGCTTCAAGACATAAACCTACATACATACTTGTGTGCCTATTGCTAAAATATAATCACCTAAAGATTCCAGTTGAAGTAGTTCCTAGGCTGGCGGCTTCAACTCTTCCAGCTCCTATTAATAGTCTAATGGGCTATTAATATAATAGTCTAATGGGAATGGGCTACTCACTTTATTGACTATATATATATTATATATTCACTTTAATTTGAATGTGAGAAGCTAGTGATTGGGGAGAGGAAAGGAAATATGAAGAATAGAGATGTTCTGCTGTTAAACAAAATGTGGAGAGAGAGAAAGAGAGAGATGGACATATGCCAGGGGATAGAAAATCCAAGATAGAGAGGTCTGTGGGATGCTATGCTAAAGGAGATGGGAACAACAATTTAAAAAAAAGAAAGAAGGAAAACAGACAGAAAACTCTTCACCATAGTGACTGTACAGTTCCCTGTCTTTCTTTTCTCTCTCTCTTTAAAAACATTCTTGTTCCCATCCCTTGTAGCACAGCATCCCCCATACCTTTGTATCTTGTGTTTTCTATCCCCTGGTTTATCTCCACCTCTCTGTCTCTCTCTTTTTCTCTTTCTCTTTATCTCGCTCTGTCTCTCTTTCTCTCTTGCTTGCTCGGTCTTTCTCTCTCTCTCTCTCCCTCTCTCTCTCTCTCACACACACACACACACACACACACACACACACTTAGTATTTTTTAAAGTAGCAGATTTAAAAATTAAAAAAAATCAAACCCATGAACGTAGAGTAGAAGAATGTTTACCAGAGATTGGGAAGGGTAGTGGAGGGCTAGTAGACAAGATGAGAATGGTTAATATGCACAAAAAATAATTAGAATGAATGACTAAGGCCAAGTATTTGATAGCACATCAGGGTTACTATATTCAACAAGAATTTAATTGTAAATTTTAAAATAACTAAAAGAGTACAGTTGGATTGTTTCTAACACTAAAGATAATTCCTCAATATCACCTTTGTTTCTCCACAGGGAATCTGGTAACTGTGATTTTTAAAAAGATAAACCAAGAGTGCAAAGAAGGGGAAGGGAAAGGTGGAGGTGGGATACCATGGAAAATAACGATGCTATCCACCATTCCTGGACCTTATCTTAATGATGGTGGCAGGAAAGAGGAATTACATGCTAATACAACCAGTCTGGGAGAGTCACTCCTGCTTCTCCGCCTTGCTCCATACCTGAAGCCTCTAGGAGTTAAAGCCAATTACTAAAGGCACAAGGGACTCCCAAGAATATGAAGCCCAGATGATCCTCTGATACCACTCCTCTTGAGGTGACTGTGTAGGACAAGTAGAGTTGGTACAGGGTTGTTAGAGGCCAAGGGTGAGGAAGAGCATTGTATATTAAATAACTACCTCCTAAGTCTTTCCAATTCTCCAATCTTTTGTCTCTTTTCTCATCCCTTTCTTTCTTTCTTGTCACTCTCTTTTTACATCTGGTATGCACAGTTGGAATATTTATCCTCCTTGGTTCATAATACACTATTATCTCTGGCTCCCAAATGGCCTTACTTATGTATCTATAAACCCCCTATGATAAACACACCTGTTAATCTACCACCCAATGAACAAAGTACATTACCAACTAACTTACATCTACCGATGTGCTACTAATCTGTGATACTCCATTGTGTACTTCCTTGCTGCAAGAAATAACTACCTTGTATTTTTTGTTGATTGTTCTCATGATTTAGTTTTCACCTTTTCACACACACACACACACACACACACACACACACACACACACACACACTCTCTCTCTCTCTCTTTATGTATCTATCTGCACCAGCACTTTGGCCATTCAATTATTTACATAGCTGCATGATGTATGACTCTGGGTCTTAGTTTCCCCTTCCACAAAATGACAATAATAACAATACTTACCTCAGAGTTTTTGTGAAGATTCAGTGCCTTCATGAATATAAAGGACCTAGAGAAGCACTTGACATATGATTAAGAGTAGTAGTGGTAGTAATACTTCTGCTCCCTGAATTGTCCTTACTTCCTTTGCTATGCCATGTGCCACCTCTTCCAGGAAGACCAACCTGACTTCCCCAATTTAAACCAATTCTTAATTTTTCTACATTCCCAGGGTACCTATTCACACCTTTATTCTGGCCCATGCTTTGTACTAATGCTAATAACAAGTTTGTTTGCCTTCAAAACTATGGTTCTTAATATTTTAAGCACATAAAAATAATCTGGCAACTTTTAAAGAATACTGATCCAAGCTCTATGACAGACCAATTTAACAAGAATCTCTGGGGGTGAGACCCAGATATCATCAGTTTTTAAAGCTCTCCAGGTGATTTTAATGTGCAGCCAAGGTTAAGAACCATGCCTCAGAGTTGGAGTCAGTAAACTCTGGACCAGGGGTCTGATCCAGCTCATTGTCTATTTCTGTAAATAAAGTTCTATTGGCTCATTTATGTGTTGTCTATGTCTAATTTCACACCACAATAGCAGGGTTGAGTAGCTGTGATAGAGACTATATGTCCAGCAAAGCCCGTATCATTTACTATGTGCGTCACTACAGAAAAAAGTGTGTTGATCCCTGCCTTAGAAAATAATCTCTCTAAGTATAGGGGCCATGTCTTATGCATCTCTATAGTCCCTAAACTTGCCTAGCACAGTGCTTTGACTATACTTGCTTAATTAAAAAATGCTCAAAGAATAGGTATAAGTGAGGTGTAAAGTCTTGTTTGCCAAATTCAAAGCTGGAGTTTTCTTTTTCAGACAGTGTTGACATCAGCCAGTATTTCAGAGTATGTGGATTCCAGTCTCCCTGTTGGTGGGAAGAAGATGACCTGGAGAGGGCGCTGGGAACGTGATGTCAGAAAGGCTAGCTTGTTTTGCTCCTTGCATTGATTCTCAGAGCACAGCACTGACCTCCTCATCACATCACTGCCATCTGGCACTCTTTGATTTTAGAATCTCTAGTTGGCCTCCATCTCTTCCCAGTCCCTTCAGTTTGAGAAACACTTGAACTGGTTGACCTTTGGAGATCTCATCCAGATTTTACACACATATTGCATCTTATTTTCCCTTTGTGTTGTGGTTCAGTTATTTATGTCACAGTGGTTAAAATGAGATGACTAAGGCTCAGGGAAACCTGAGTATGATTCTTGACTGTGTGACCCTGGTCCTATTGCTTATTGGCTCTGAGCCTCTGTTTCTGGTTCTAAAAAATAGACATAATAGTACCTACCTCATAGGGTCCTTAGAGCGTGTAAATGAGATAATGACTGTACAACACTAAACACAGTTGTGGGCAAATAGTAAGCACTTGTTAAAGGTAGCTATTGTCATCATCATGGCTGTCATCATCACCAGAGGACTCATTTTTCCTGCCGTGTTTAAGCCCCTTGAACACAGGGGTTGTGTCTTAGCCATTTCTGCATTCCCACTATACCTGATACATAGTTAGCTCTCAATGTGCGTTAATTGCTTGAATTTCAACCTATCACTCCAAAACTGAAGCTCATGGCAGGGACATAGATGTCAAGCTCTGCCTTACCTCACACTCTGCACTGCCTGCATCTCAAGGCATCTGGGTGTTAATCAACACCATATATCAAAAATGGCGTGACATATGTGGTAAGTATACTAGCCTTGGGGCAATTCCAAATTAATCTGTCTACATTCTCCAAATGAATAGTAGCTCTATTACAATTTTAACCTGTCACAGATTCATAGTGCAATTTCTTTCTTTCCTGAAGAAAGAAACTGCCACTGCGGTGGTATTTCAAGATGCTTGTTTTAACAAGTCTAAATTACTAAGACAGTGTGCTTACATTCAAATCTACAGGATTAAAAAGTCTAAAGGTCAGATTTTCAGTCTTTTATAGGCCAAGAGAATAAAAAAGGCATTCTAAAGCTGGCAACCATTTTTCGTGATTCACCACTGAACTGGGCTGAGGAACTGATATGCTAGCCTGGGAACAATGTACTGCGCTTTAGAAATTTGATTGTTTACGTTAATAAAACGTCACTGTACAGAGGCTCCCAGCATGTCTGGACTTGGATATTTCCATTAATTTATTTAACACTGTCCTCAGGAGGATAAATCGGATAGACACCTAGTGAAAGACGGCTATGGGGGCAGCATCCAAACCCTTGTCAATTCAGCAGCAATCAACACAAAATCTGGGATCCTATTTGAAGGTCAAGCCTCCAGGTACTCATAGCCAACAGCAAAACCCAGGAAGGGGGGAGTTTGTTTTCCTCAACTCCTGTCTTCTCTTTCTGTATGCTTTCCCTGACCAATACTCCAATCCCACATTAGGTGACACATTTTTTTTCCTAATTTACTTTTGTTTTAAAAATTTAAGTAAAATTAACACAATATTAAAATATACTTTGCAAAAACGCTTTATTGATGTTTAATTCACATACAAAAACTGCACATATTTAATGTATACAATTTGATGGGTTTGAATATATGCACATAACTGTGAAATCATTACTAAAATTATGGTAATAGACATATCCATAACCTCTAAAATTTCCTATGTACTTTTGGTTTTTGTGGTAGGAACACTTGATATAACATCTATTTTCTTAAGAAATGTTTGCATGCACATTATAGTCATGCTCACTTAAATAAATGTCAAAGCTTAATGTGGGCCTCTACCATGGGCATTCACATTTACCTAGAGGTCACTGGATTCAAAATAAGTAATTACATGCTAATTTGAATTCTGGAAGTGGAAAAAAGGCATTCTGGGGGACAGGGCTTTTCCTTGGCCACCATCTCATTTTCTCTTGTTATAAAACATAGTGAGATGCTTTAATGGATATCAGCGTTTTTAAGACAATTAATACACAGCAATTAAACAAAACTAAGATGAACTTTAGGAGAAGACAGAAAAATCTTGATATATGCTGATATTTCTAGTGGCTTCTGCTTAGTTTCCTAACTTCATGTATCAAAAAGGTCTGTGAAGGAAAACAGTATTATAGAATTAAGGTGAAAGAAAGCCACTGGATGAAGCTGAAAACATACTTTTGCTAGATGTTTCCTTGAGAACAAATATCCACTGGATGGGTTATAAATAAGATTGGCTTCATGAGCATGCAACCAATGCAATCTCACAGAGCACCACACTCAGAAGGGTCTCATGTTTGGTGTTTAATGCTCTGCAGTTGTTGTCTTGAAATTCTTGTATTTATTTATTTGTTTGTTTATTTTACTTTCGGTGCATACCATATCTGGCATTTACCCCATGTTGTCCCTCCCCACCCTCTTAATTTTGCTTTTGAGCTTGTGTTTTCGAAGAGATGCCTGATGGGACAATGAAGCATGTGCTGGTGGCTTACAGCCTTGGTTTACATGTGCTTTCATCTCCTGTCACCTCTCCACCTCCCTGGAAAGGGTTCCTCGGCTTTCTAGTGCCCCAGGACCCACCTGGCCTTTCCTTCCACACCCCTGCTCAATGACTACTGTCTTCCTCCATCCCCAATGTGGGTCTGGCACAGACATGCATAGAGTCAGAGACAGGGGCATGTGTTCCACAGTGTCCCAGAGAAGGGAATGCCACTCTGATGTGGCAGCTTCAGGGCACATTTGGCAGGTGATTTGGTGGTAGTAAACCTCTTACCTTCCTCAATCCAGGTGCTAAGTATGTCCCACTATGGAAGTTTGCAATCCCTTTAGATTACCCATTCATTGTGGGTTGGGGTGGCAGGATTGTGGGAAGAGGAGTTAGACTTTTCTGCCCCAGATAGAGCACAGCATGTCAGTCGGGCGATAGGGGGGAGGAGAAACCTCATGGGATTGGGCTCCCAAGCATTTGTGAGAAGGTTTCCATTCACCTGACATTTATTCCCATGCCCAATAATGCATGACATTAAATAGAACAGAAAAAAAAATACCAGGACAGTGGACTTCAGTTCTGAATAAAGGTGGAGTAGATGCATTTTTCCCTATTCTTCCCAATAAGGTCAGCTAACTACTCTGTACATTATATTTTTATATATTTTTTTATGACTCTGAAAGGTAAAAGAACAATGCAGACCAATTAGGGATCTCAGGCCCTGAGGAAAATATGTGGCAGTGAGTTCTCTGGTTTTCCTTTTTGCCTTATATATGCTGGATTAGGTGCTAGAGACTGCCAACTTGGAAACAATAACCCAGAAATGTCAATAGGCACAGACACAAAAAGTTCAAACAAAAAACCCCCTGCTCTTTATAGCCAAAGGACTCAAAAAGGAGAAGCCTAGCAAGACAGAAAACTTTAAGACAATTAATGCTCTACTCCAGCCAGGCACCATAGGACATAACTGTGGTCCCATTCTTCCATGCCAGCAAAGTTGTAATGGGCAGTATTTACTTCTACCCTCACCAGATACCTAATCACCAACCTGCTGGGATGGTGTCAGAGAGGGCCAAATAAGGTAATGAGCCTCCTTGGGAAGCCTCAACTTCCACTTCAATCCAGTGATAATAAGACAATCTTCCTTCCTTCCTTCCTTCCCAGTGAGGTGGTGTCAGAGATGGCCAAGCGGCAAGCCAGGAATTTCACCATTGCTCGGTGGTTATGAAGTTTGTCCCTCACCTCTTAGTATCAGTGAAGGCCATGTAGGAAGAGTACAAGGCATTCCTCCCTTCCTCAGCCAGGGTAGTAGCAGTGGAAGTTTAGTGGCGAGTCCAAACACCCACTCATGCCCAGCAGTAATGAGGCACCCTTCCCCCATAGGGTATCAGAGGAGCCAAGGGGAAACCTGAACTTTTACCCCATCGTACAGTAACATAAAAGTACCCCTGCTGTCTACAGTTGCAGCATCAGAGGAGATCTGCTAAAACAGAAGGCTTAAATAAACCCCACGTTGCCTAATATAATACCCGAAATGTCCAGAATATAGTAAAAATAAAAAAATTACCCCTTATGCCAAGAAACTGGAAAATCTCAAATTGAATGAGAGGACAGGTTAGCAATAACAAGATTATGGATGTGTTAGAATTATCTGACAAGTATTTTAAAATAGCCATCATAAAAACATACTAATAAGCAATTATAAACATAAAAATGAAAAAAAATCAGAAATAGTGAAGAAAGCCTAAGCAAACAAATAGAAAATTTAAAGGATAACGAAATGGGAATTTTTGAATTAAAAAATATTATAACCCAAATATTTTTTTAAAAAAATTCAATGGATGGGTTCAATAGCAGAATGGAGGGGACAGCGGGAATAATCAATGAACTGGAAGATAGAACAACAGTAATTACCTAACCTGAACAACAGAGAGAAAATAGAATTTAAAAACTGAACAGAGCCTCAGCGACTTGTGGCACTAAAACAAAAGATCTAATATTCATGTTACTGGAGTCTCAGAGAGTGGAAAAAGGCAGAGCTGAAAATATATTCAAGGAAATAATGACTGAAATTCTAATTTTGGCAAGGACATTAGAGTACATATTCAAGAAGTTTAGCAATTCCAAACAGGATAAGCCCAAAGGGATTCACTCCAAGAGATATTGTAGTCATATTTCTGAAAATAAAAGACAGAAAAAATATTGAAAGCAGTAAGAAACAAACAGCAATTTACCTAGAGTGGGGAAGTAAATAAAATGACAGCAGATTTTTCATCAGAAATCACGGGGCCAGAGGGAAGTGGCATAAGACCTATTGAATAATAATAATAAGGAGCTATCAACCCTAAGTCCCATATCTGCAAAATTATCTTTCAGGAATTAAAGGGCAATTGAAATTCTTAGATTAAGACAAGTGAAGAAAACTTGTTGTGAATAGACCCACCGTAATAGAACTTTTCTGTTTCAAGAAGTTCTTGAAACAGAAAGAAAATGATAAAAGAATATCTTGGAATGCCAGGAAGGAAAATAAATAAATATTACATTGGATAGCAAAATAATTATTAATTCCACAATCATAGTAAAGAAAGAGAGAGAAAAAGAGGAAGCGCTTCTTCTTTATGGAAGAATGTTAGCTAATAAATGTAGAAAGAATGTTAGAATTAGTAAGTTACCATTTTACATCATCCCAGTGTAATAGCAAGGGTAAGCATAGATCATTACTGGAGGTTAAAACCATTGGGTAAAGAGTTGTTAAGATAGATAGTCAAAAAGCCTCAGGGTATCATCCCATATTTAATTTTTACTGTCAAAGAAAAAAGATACATTTACAGTGTAGCGATCTGATAGATTTGTAACTTAACCATGGGATCAATCCCAGAATCAGCAATATAGGGACATACCAACACTCTGGGCATTGCCTATGTAGTGGCCTTTTTCAAAATGTTTAACTTGTATATAATCATGGAGAAACTATCAGAAAAGACCAGAACATAGAATATTATACATTATAGAATGTACCTGTGCTTTTGGAAACTATTAATGTCATGAACATCAAATTAGCAACGAAAATAGCAAGAGACTAATCAATAGTAAAGGAAACTAAAGAGACTTCACAATGCAAATGCACTAGGTGGACTTCAATTGAATCCTGAATCACAAACAAAATTATTAAAGACAATTTTAGGGGAATGGAAGAATAAAATATGAAGTGAATGACAGATGATACTATTATATTAATGTTAAATTTCCCAAATGTTATGTAGAAAAATTCCTCATTTTTAGAGATGCCTGTTGAAATATTTAGAGTGGAAGTGCCACAATATTTGTAATTTTCAGAATTTGCAATAAGTCCCATATCCAGTAAAATTATCTTTCAGGAATGAAAAGGAAATCAAAATTGAGAGGGAGAGAGAGAGAGAATGGTAGAGACAGAGAAAGAAAAAAAATCTTGCAAAATATTAAAAATTGGTGAGACTAGTTAAAGGGTTGTAGTGGGTCAAATACTTCCCCCTGCCACCTACCCCCAAAGATATTTCTGAGTCTTAATTCCTAGTATCTGTGAATGTCAACTTATTTGTACAGTACAGTCTTTGTAGATATAATTAAAGTAAGGATCTCAAGATGATATTATACTGGATTTAGGGTGGCTTAATCCAATGCAGCTTTCCTTAGAAGAGAAAGTAGGGGACACAGAGGCAAAGGCATAAGGCCATGTAGAGACAGAAGCTGAGAATAGAATTTTACTGCCACAATCCAAGAAATGCAGGAGTCATCAGAAGCTGGAAGAGGAAAAGAAAGATATTTCTTTTATAGGGAGCTTGCTCTACCACCACTTTAATCTCAGACTTCTGGCCTCCAGAACTGTGCAAAAACAAATTTCTGTTCTTGTAAGCCACCAAGTTTGTAGTAATTCGTTGGAACAGCTCCAGGAAACTAATACAAATGTATACCACCACACTTTCTTTCAGGCTTTATGTATGTTTGAATTTGTTTTTTTTATTTTAAAAAATCTCTTACTATTATAGGGTAAGAGTGAGAATACATAAGAAACAAATTGTGTAGTACCTGTAATAACACTTTTCTACCCCTGCTTTTTAAACTAGAGGCTCCATATCTTCACTTTGTATTGGTTCCCACAAATTGTATAACCAGCTTAAATGTTGAAGGAATTGTGGCATTAGGATAGATTTCTTTAAATCTCTTCTATCTGTGATCAGTATTGAAAGTTTAGAAACAAAACCAGTCATTTCCTTGCATTGTTTTTTTTGTTTCCTTCTTGTCTTCTCAATCATATTGTAAGATTTTCAAGTCTAAATACCTTAGCTTTCACTCCTTTGCATTTCTTTTATTTTGTGGCATAGTGCTAGGCACAGGGTTATGTAAGTGTTCAAAGATTATTTGAATTGGGATTGTCATGGGCTTAAGCGAATGCAGAAAGATGGGTGACATCAGAAGAAATTTAAGAATCTTCAACCTAGTCCTTCCTAGCTGCTAAAATGAAACAAAAACACATCTGTGAAATTGAGATTCATGACTTTTGGGGCAAAGGGATGTGGAGATTCACTTAGGGTGGTGGCAAAAAATATTAAGGGAAAAATATTAGAGAAAGTTATAGAATATAGTCACAAGCCTTCTTGGAAGGCCAAGAAGTTTGCATAGTTTTAGTAGAAGTTTAGGCAGAAGGCAGCCTAAATCCCCTTTACATTTAGTTAATAAGGAAAGAAAATAACTAGGGTATGTGGTGGAGTTTATCTGAATAACTTGTTTACTCTTGTGGTCTTAAAATTAATTTTTGAGCCAGATGGCCCTCTTGGGTAGGGGGAGGTCAACCAGGGATATTACCCACTAATGGTGTTTGCTTTGGGCATCGGAACCTGTCCTTTAATCTTCAACCACTAGTGGTATTGCCCCAGAGTTTTTGTCATTTAATGTGTGCTGAAAAAAGGCCAGCGAGATCAGTGTGTGGGGGCCAGTGGTTGCAACTGTTTAATAGCACTCTCCAGGGAGTCCTTAAGCTGCCTGTACACTCAGTCAAACTGGCAATGCATAATATCTGTGTGTCAGTGAATTTTACTCATCTGTCACTGAGTCAGGGTCTGCAGGACAGACCCCCACAGGTGGTGACCCCAACAAAGGGAGAAAAGTGAAAATGCATCACTGGTTGAGAAAGGGAGAGGCTTATATGTTCATATTGACTTCTATCCATATGTAGTCTCCAAGTAAGATCATGTCTACAATAGTCCCAAGAGGTAAGAGTCCATGTAATAGGACTGAGAGTTTGACAACAATATCCTATTCTGAGTATCAAGTTAAACATCATTTCTTATTCAAAGGTATCTGTATTAGTATTTCCATCATATGTTATATGGTGTGTGACCATGTATATTTTGACAGAACCTTTGCATGTATCTTTGAAATGTCTATAGAACTTTTGCATGCCTTTTATTAATTTTTTAATATAACAAATACTTTATGCTTATTGTGTGCCAGGCACTATTTTAAGTTAGCAAAAATGTTAATTCATTTAGTCTTCATAGCAGCACTATACAGAATAGGAACTGAGGAACAGGCAGGTTAAAGGAATGGCAAATTGCTATGTGGCAAGTGAGAGGTAGAGCCAACATTTGAATGAAAGCATTCTGACTGCAGAGTTCCCCACTGTTAACCACTATATTTTGCTATCTTGCTATGTACTTGGCAAAGGTTCAGGTGTTGATCATGAGAAAAGTTCTGGGCCACAACTTGCCCCACAAACCCTATGCAGCCATCTTATATTTGTTTATTAAGTAATGACAGGACTTTGGGGCAGAAGCTTGTAATCCTTTTGGAGGGTGATTGGCTTATAGAGGATCAGCCTGTATCTCCCTGGTGGGTCAAACAAAAACTCATAAATCCAGAAGACTATGAAAATCTTCTCCTGGTAGTAAAGCTGGGAATTTCTGTATTAAAAGATTAAAAGTGTGGCAGAGTGCATAATACTGATGGTTTTTGCCTAATACAAGTACAACAATGAGGGAACTTTGTTGCTGTTTCTAGGCAATTAACAACCTTTTGCTCTTACTACTCAAGTTGTTACAAGCAATTGGGCTAAAAAAAGTGTAGTTTCAACAGGGAAAGCCATTGTATCAGACTCTGGTTGCAAAAGAGAGAAAACCCTACAAAGATTGCTTTTATAAAAAAATTTTCTTAGTGCACATGGCTAAACACCTTCAGGTCCACCTGGATTCAATGATTCATGAAACCATCATCAGGATTTGATTTCTTCTTTCCTACTCATCAGTTCTACTTTTTTTTTTTTTTTTTTTTTGAGACAGAGTTTCGCTCTTGTTACCCAGGCTGGAGTGCAATGGCGCAATCTTGGCTCACCACAACCTCCGCCTCCTGGGTTCAGGCAATTCTCCTTCCTCAGCCTCCTGAGTAGCTGGGATTACAGGCATGCGCCACCATGCCCAGCTAATTTTTTGTATTTTTAGTAGAGACGGGGTTTCACCAAGTTTACCAGGATAGTCTTGATCTCTTGACCTCATGATCCACCCGCCTCGGCCTCCCAAAGTGCTGGGATTACAGGCTTGAGCCACCGTACCCAGCCCAGTTCTACTTTCTCAGGATATCTCCATTCTAATCAAATGGGGTCTCTTCTCCTAATCAAAAGATGACTGTCATTGGCAATCAGAGCTACTATTTCTATATCCCATTCCAATAAATAAAAAATCAGAGCCCTCTCCCAAAAAGTCATAAAATTCATTTTACTCTTGGAATAGTCACAGTGGCCAGGGAAAACCCATATGATGATTTACTTAGGCCTGGGAACCAGGGTTGGAGGTGGAATATCACCCAGGAAGGTGGACTAAAGTGGGAAAAAGTTATATTTCCACATGAAAATTAGAAACCATTGCCAAAAGTAGAAGACTTGGCGAGGAGGCAAACAGTAAATGTCTCCCACAACCATACCTGGCCAATCTATTAGAGTTGCTTCGTACAGAAAGCATGGGTATTGCTAAAGAGCACCAGAGAAACATTTATTTAGTCTATGAAAAATGTTCTAGATAAGTCTCTAAACCAAGACTATTTAATCCCATCAATTCATCATATGGAACTAATTTAGAAGCAGGAAACAAAAACTAGAGACAAATGGGCCATTTGAAACAAGAAATCTAGACAGTCAGTTGTCCCAGGGTCTGATTTAATACTTTATTATATTATGTTGGAAAACACTGTAAAAGAGAAAGGACTTACCAAGTGCCTACATAAATTTGTTATGAGTAACATATAAACAAGGAACCACAAACTGCAGAAGGCTGCAGGAGGCCTCTGAGTAGGAAGGCCTCTTCATACCCAATGTTCCAGTGCAGGGTGACCTTGCTCTGTTACCATAAACATTGTGCTCAAGAACGTAAAACTGACATAGCCAGACTTGTAGGCTCCTTGTAAGGCTCATGTTCCATCAGCTGTACATAGATAATAAGCTAAAGATAACCATATGTTTTTGTCTTGTGAAACTCCCAAAACGCCACTGTTATCAATCCTTAGAATGACACACCAGTTCTGGCTCACTGATTCACTCCACCATCACCCTCTCCCCACCATTACTCCACCCCTATCCTGTAAATCAGAGTGATCATAACCAATAAATAGAGTGGATGATCAGAGCTTGGGGCCTTCACTGCTTCCTCTCGAGTAATAAAGTGATGGCCCCCTGGTATCACTTTTTCTCTTAATCTGTCTTTTTCTCATTCCTTTGTTGCCACCAAACTTGGGGTACCCACAGGTGATGTGGGGTTCATGGATTCCCTACATATTATAGATTCAAGGTCAGGAAAGTTGTAAAGAACCAGGTAGCCAATATATATATTTGGCTTTGTGGGCCATATAATGTCATAATATGAAAGCGGCCATAGACAATATATAAACAAATGGGTATGGCTGTGTTCCAATAAAATTTTATTTATAAAAACAGGCCGTAGGCTAGATTTTGCCCGTAGATGATAGTTTGTGGACTCCTGTTGTAGATAGATACTAATGTACTATGTAGGAGTATGGTCTCGTGATAGATGTAGGTGCATTTGAGTTCTCCTTCTATTACTAGCTCTGTGTCCATGGGCAATGTCCTTAATTATTCTAAGGCTCAACTTTCTCATCTGCTTAATATGAATAATAATAACATCTATCTAAGAAGGTAGTGAGAATTTAAAGAGAAAATGAACATAAATCAAAGAACACAATGCCCAACATGTAATGAATGATCAATAAATAGTAGTTGTTACTTATTATTATAATTATTATTAAGGAAGCCAGTGGGGGGAAACTATAGGAAAAACTTGTGAGAGCACTAAGAAGAAAAAACTTCAACGTCAGTTTAAAAACATCCATTTATTACATCATATTCTAACTACATTTTTAAAGTAATGGGCTTAGTGCCATCAGCTTCAACTCAGGGAAGAGACTTGTGGCCTTTAGGGAAGAATCTACAATGACTTTTTTCCTCAAGGTGCTGACAATATCCAGAAAGGCCAAGAAGTTTTTGGAATCGTTTTTAGGAACCATTAGTAATAAATAAGAAAATTGTATTTTATTCAAATTTTTTTAGTGCTCAGACCTGGAATGCTGGGTACATTTGTGATGATTGTCCTCTGCTAAAGACAGCAGAGCTGGTGAAAGTTTGGAAAGGGCATGCTGGATAATTACTGGTCTAAGTAGGTGAACACACAAGCATCCACTAAAAAGATGAGGACATTTTAGCCTAGGACACAAATCTCGGAAGGACAGGTAGTATAGTAGTAAAGAACATGGCTTTTTCTGTCAGAGAGACCCAAATATTAATCCTGGCTCTATGATCTACTAGCTAGCGACCTTGGACATGTTACTTAAACTCTGAGTTTACTTGTTTTCACCCATAAAATGAGAATATTGATAGTGCCTTCTCATGAAGCTATAATGGGAAATATGCACATAAATCCACCACTCTTACAGTTGGCATACAACACGATTTCAGTAACTTATTATTTCAAGCCTCTAAAATCATGTATAAGGTGACAGCATCAACACAGACTTCTTCATTTCCTGGAATAATTGAATGGAAAGGGGGATGCCTTTACATTATACATCGGTGAAGTTAACGCATGTAAGGGGAAGTCTGATTTAAAAGGCAGGTATTAAACCTGTGGTCTCTATTGCCCCATAAGATGTTACAGGATGAAAACAAGTAGACTTAATTAAAAAAAAACTCATGGATGATAGAATTATCATAGGCAATTAAGGGAAACATGATATTTGATAGTTGTTCCCAAACTCATGGCAAATGTCAAAGAGAACAAAACTATCTTTTCATAAATTCTCTTCAGAGTCAGATTGTTTGACCAGATATTACCTGAGGTTGACACCATGAAGGGAGTTCTCAAATTTAAATGGCTAACTGCTATATGAATTAACCAAACTCTTATTTTAATATTGATTTTCCAATGACCATGGCAGATAACAATAATCAGATGTTGAAGTTGTCTCCCGGCATTCCTGCAGCCACTATAAACATCATTTTTCAAAAAGACTCAATGGCTTTGAATGAAGAGCTACTGAAATATAAAGCCTTTGTGTTAGTCAGAAATGTTTGTTAGACTCCTGACTCAACAAGTGAGGGCCTACCCAATCAGTAATGTCGACATAGTGTATTTTTAGAGGTGTCAAGAAATTTTCCCCAAATCATTAGAAACACAAATGAAATTACAAATTCCTGGAAAGTGTTGATTTGTTTCATGATTCCTTTGTAGACTGTTGTTTAGAACAAGAGTTCCAATCAGTGGTTATGTGAATACCAGTTACTAGAGTAGCCTCTCTTCATGAAGTGCTTATGGGATGTGTAATTGAGTAAGTTATGGTAATCAGGAGGGGTATGAATTAGAGAGTTTCTACCAGAGATCACAAGGCTCTGGCATCAAGAAGATACACTTTCAAATTCTAGTTTAACCACTTACTGCTTGATGAATTTGGGAAGGTTAACTAACTGCTCTAAACCTTAGTTTCATCATCTTTAAATTGAATTTATAACACCTATCTCATAAAGGTGTGGTGAGCATTAAATGCCAGAAATGGATATTCCATCTTTTAGTGATATGGTATTTAAATAGGCATTATTAATAAAGCTTTCAGCACAGTGCCTGGCATAAAGTAGGCATTCACCAACTATTAGTTTCCTTTCCCTAGATGTCTGCAAAGCCACATTATATGAGTGGGATGAGTCTTATATATAGAGAGAAAACTGAAATTCTATGTAGTCCTTCACTGCGTTACTATGAAGCAAGTGGGATTTTTGGAATATAGTCACAACTGACTTATCACTGAGCTGGCTAGATAAAAGAACCAGAGCTATGTAGAGTTAATACTAGAAATCAGTGAGCAGGAAGCAAGTCCAAACAGACCTAAGAAACACAGCTGATACCAGGAAGTTATACCAATAAGTATGAATGCTGAAAACCGTAGTGGATGTAAATGATGGGACAGTGTGGTCTGGGTACTAAAATATGTTGACTAAGATAGTTCTCATAGCTCTAGTAAATGGTGTAACTCACTTCTGGGACTCCTGGTTTTGAAATGTGGTCAGTGACTCTTGCCCCAAGATGACATTGAAGATCCATGACACTAAATTCTCTTGAAGGTTTTTCCATTCACTTGGCCAAATGAAGTTTGGACCATCATAGGGAGGCAATGAAACAGGCCACCAATGTGTCAGAGTTATAAAGATGTGAAACAAGTACCCAGAGCCCTTTTAAGGGCATTAGATGTTAGATTTTGCCCAGATGGTGGTAGAAATTCTGCATATCTTAAATTCTTTATTTTTATTTTGCTTCAGAGATGACTATTGTGGTCATAGGCAAGAAGTTGTGGGAATCATCATTCTAGACATTATTCTAGAAATTATCTTCTAGAATTCAAAAAAAAGGATGATGTTTGTTGCATCATCCTGCATAAATCTAAGGACAGTGACAGTATGGGTCTTGTGCATTGTCATCTGTACAGAATGGAAGTGGTGAGAATGAGGCCAATCGTACACTTCTCCCTCTCTAATGGTGTATTTCAGTGGCTCATGTCTACAGTCATGTGTTATGTTTCATCCATGCCAGATTATTCTGACAGGTAGACTGAACTATGAAATATTGTAAAAGGCAATTGCTTATGGCAGGATGCAAGTGAAGGTAAATGCAGAAGGTAAAAATTGTAGGTATTTAGAAATTTTCTTACAGCTATAGACAAATGAGGGAGATAAGGGAAGCTGGCTGACTGTTGGGGAAAAGCTCCCAGGGAGGCCAATGTTCACTAGACTTACTGTGATTCACACTATGGTGCTGACTTTGCAAAATGAGAATCTTATTTTTTTCAGTGCACTCAGAGGTGATTAGAATCAGGATAGATGCTATTTAAACCCACAAAAACTGATGTATAAGCCAAACACCAATTTATTCCATTATAATGAGAATTAAATCTGAAATAGGCTAGAACATTCATGTCAGCTGGTTAGTAAATTTTCTCTCCATAACAAAGTTCATAAGGGAAACTAATTACAATCAAATTACTTTGAGACCATTGAATCAGAGCAATGGGGTTAGGTGACCATCTTAATGGCTGACACAAATTGGGATGGCCATTGCAGGGATGGACACTCCAAATAATCTGCTGGTCAACAAGTCATCTCTGAATCTAGGGGGATTACCAATGTTCTTTTTATTTAAGTTCTTCCCTTTCTATGCTCCATGAATACTATTCTCTCCTTAACAAATTCTTCAGACTTATCATAAAATGATTAGATTCTATCTCGCCAAGTGGCATCAGTATGGAGCATATCTGCTTCCTTAAAGCTACAACCTTGGTTGGACCTGGCGGTTCCCCAAGCCATTGCAGTTGTTGACTGTATCTTTGAGTAGATTATAATTCATCTGTTCTCTGTAGATTCTAAGTAGTTTTACTCTCATAGAAATTCACATAGTTATAATTTCTGAGGACACACCCCTGTAACTCTCTTTATGCTAAATCATGAGTCATTCTAGTTGAAAAGGATAACATATAATGGATGGTGTCACTATAACAAAAATTTGGAATGGGTAAAATAGTTGCTAGCTAGTAGATAGTAAAGCATTATTTATTCCAGCATCTCATTCATAAGCTCAGTCTGGCTATAGGATTGTATTGCATAGTGTACAAGAGATCTTTGATTTGGAATACTTCAATAAGTGACCCCAGAAGTGGAGAGTGAACTGAAGTTCATAGCCCTGGATTGGATATATTTTCTGAGAGGCTATGAAGTCTGAAAATTTCTAGGGAAAGAAGGTAACATTGCCACAAAGAGAATATCCAAATAGGAAATGAAGTCATGTATCTTTGGGAAAGAACCTAAAATGATGAATTGTGGCCCTAAAATAAGGAAAGATTGTTGATTAAGACAACTGAATGTCCCTCTCAGCATTCCAAGACCATACTGGGTTTGGTAAGGAAGGTGACTAGAGGCCATGAGGTTAGTCCTTTATTATATATAGAATTGATGGAGATAGATCAACATAGTTCCAGGTAATTTCAGAGTCACTCTAAATTCAATAGCTCTACTTGTTAGAGGATCTCATACAATCCCAGTACTATAGTCAGAATTTCTTAGCATAACTGAAATATGTTCACTCAGGTCTCTGTTGGGGGAGCATATGGAGTAATTTGGTTGTATAACAAGCTACTGTTAAAGAAAACCCTTTGTGAATGCAAATAAGATTGGCACAATGGCCAGCAAGGCACTAATGGGTGAAAAGATTGGTTTGTTGGTGCTACAGAATGAGAGTAGTAAGGTTCTAGCAGGTTAAGCATTGTCAAAGTTAGCACAATTCTCCAGAAACAAAACCAAAGTACAATGGCAATTTTATGTTCTGAGAGGCCTTGATGGTTGCTAGGGAATATGTGATTACTGATATTTCTCCAGGATATCCATTTTGGGAGCATACATCAGCAACAAGAAGCAGGGAGCAGAGGGTTGTCAATTACTAGCAAACAGTAATCATTGCTGAATAGTCTTAACACGTAAGGGAGCTGTGTCTTTCCAGCATAACACTACTTTTGTTCAGAAGCATCAGGAATCTATATACAGAGCTTGTGTATGCTAAGAGTACAGCCCAACACAAATTTGTAAACTTTCTTAAAACATAAGCGATAAAACCCCGACTTCTCAAGTTCTGTGCACAGATGGTTTCCATGTATGTGCCTCAGGATTTTTCAGATGAGATAGTTTGGAAGTTGTTTGCCATTCATTATTTTTTAAGATCCTCAATTAGATGGAGGACACCAGAGATGGTCCATGAAGGTAGAGCTCAATAGCAATGAATAGTAATCCTAAACGGTGACTACATTGAGGCTTCTAGAGTCAGGAACTATTTCAGGGTCTGGCTATCAGTGGTGATTTATTTGGCCAGATCCTCTGTCCAAGGCAGCAAGGACATGCTACAGACATAGTAATTATGAGATGCCTTTCCCAACTCTCACTAAATACCTTTCAGAAATTCTTACCTAGAGCATAGTTACTTGGCTATAAGACATGGTGGAACCTCAAGTAGGGATGTTAGAGAAGAGAGGAGTAAGCTGGAACTTGGTACATGTCTTGGCTAAAACATGTACCTGCTTGATGGGCTAGCCTGCAAAAAAAGGGACCAACAGTTCCATGCAGTGGTCAAATGCCCATACAATCTGGTTTGTAAATAGGCAGGAGGTTCTGTTTGTTGGGAAAGCGTGAGTCTTTGGATGGAAATGAAATACATGGCTCTATAGAAGAGTGGCAGAGCTGTGGTTCCAGGAAGGTTGATTTATGCTAAAGCTAGATCCTAGTCAATAGGTGAAGCATGGTCCAAACTCTAGGAAGAGAATATTAGCAGAATATAGGAATGTCATTTGGACTCCAGCCAAAGGTCCTAAGCCAAAAGGAAACTAGGATACAGACAAATAAGGGTGAAAGTGAAGGCTTGGGTTCAATTCTAGGCACACAAGATACAGGACTTGGGCCAAGAAACTCAACCCAGATCTCCTAGATGGTGATTACATTGAGGATAAGGTTCCCAATGCACTTCCATGGTTATTTTCAGTGGCTTAGACTGGGAAAAGTTTTGCCTGCAGGTTTTTGGTACTCTTGGAGAATTAATTCCAACTGCAGAAAGTGCCTGTGAATTGTTTTCATCATTCTTGAGTTAGGTTTGGTGAGGGGTCACTTGCCAATGAACAAGATCTGATTGTTTAAATTCTTCAAAGCATTTTAGTTCATAACTGCTGATAAAGTGGTATCACAGTTCTCCATTTGTATTTTAAAAGTTAATGCAGGATATAAATTCGTAAGGATGGGAGTGAGAGGGATATAAGTTTTAAAAGTGACTTTCCTGATCTCTTCTTACTGTTGAGCTGTTGTTTGTCATTGCTAGAGCTCGAGAACGTTTGGCAAGGCAATCTCTTGTGAAGTGACCAGATTGATTGCAGTAGAGGCACAACTGAGTTTCTTGTTGGTAGGCTCGTTTGGCTGGGGTGAGAGGCAGCTGGCCTTCTCGCAGCTGCATAGGCCCTCTTTTGGGTGGTGGATCTGTGGGGCTAACGAGAGCTTGGTGTTGGATCAAAGAAGGCAACAATGGGAACTGGGTCTCTGACTGTAGGAGCTCTGGCCTGACACTATGCTTCTTGTCCAACTGAATGCACTGAGTGATCAGGTCTGGAAGATTGTCCGTGATATCTGTGACACTCTCTTCATCCTGGTTGGGACCAGCTAGTGCCTTTTCAAACTGACCATTCTGATTGGTTTCATTACAGATCATATTTTGAGCAAGGAGCTGGAAAGTAGCAGGGTCCTGTTGAGAGGAGTCATCCCCTTTGTCAACCTTAGCATTCATTAAAGGATTCATTTCCTGTTTTGTGGGTTCACCAAGTAACTGCTGGAACTCAAGAATAAAATTCTCATATTGCTTAAATAAGGTACTCTTGTCAGGCCCAGATATGATCCCACAACTTTCTAACTTCTGAAACAGGTAATCAATAAAGAGATTGATCTGGGCATCATTTGCAGGATTAGAGATCTGGAGGGCTGTCAAGTAGGTAGTCATCTGAGGAAGCAACTCTGAGTGATTGGCAGGGTCACCATGAAACTGGGTGAGATGCTCAAGTCAGTAGGATACAGGTATCACTGTGGTGGCGAAGACAGGCATGACTTGCCTCCTTTTAGCCAGGTTATCCAGAGTTGAATGTTGCATTTGAGGCTGTAGAATCAGATTCTCTGCCTGAAGAATTGTGCACTTCTCCATTATATCTCCTGGAGTCAGGTGGGATTGAGTAGAATTGAATACTAGTACTGGGAACCAATGAACAGACAGTGGTTTTGCTCTGTGATCAGAGAGGCAGCATCATGAGGAAGTAGCCAAAGCTGTTAGCTATGAAGAAGACACTAGGAAATGCTGACAACTGAATTGGAGAGATGCGAAAAAGTGTTGTCCACCACTCAATGTTGCTTCTTCTTTGTGGAGAAGGCCAATGTTCTGCATTTGGAAGAAATAAATTACCTTAGAACACAAAAAAGACTTGGGATTAAGAAGATATATACAACAGTCACAGTACCTTTCTCTCCTCCCTCCCTTTCCTTGTAATATAAAGACCATTTGTCTCAGACCAAACCTTTGTTCTAAAGCAAGCTTGGTCAACCTGTGGCCACATGCAGCCCAAGATGGTTTGAGTGCAGCCCAACACAAATTTGTAAACTTTTTTGAAACATTATGAGCAGCCCAACACAAATGCAGCCCAACACACATTTGTAAACTGTCTTAAAACATTATGAGATTTTTATTTTTTTTTTTAGGCTACACTGCTCATTTAGGATTCTTTTTTTTTTTTTTTTAATTTTTTATTGGATTTTAGGTTTTGGGGTACACGAGCATAGCATGCAAGACAGTTGCGTAGGTACACACATGGCAGTGTGCTTTGCTTTTCTTCTCCCCTTCACCCACATTTGGCATTTCTCCCCAGGCTATCCCTCCCCATCTCCCCCGCCCACTGACCCTCCCCTTTTCCCCCCAATAGACACCAGTGTTTAGTACTCCCCTTTCTGTGTCCATGTGTTCTCAATTTTTCATCACCCACCTATGAGTGAGAATATGCGGTGTTTCATTTTTTGTTCTTGTGTCAGTTTGCTGAGGATGATGTTCTCCAGATTCATCCATGTCCCTACAAACGACACAAACTCATCATTTCTGATTGCTGCATAATATTCCATGGTGTATATGTGCCACATTTTTCCAATCCAGTCTATTATCAATGGGCATTTGGGTTGATTCCAGGTCTTTGCTATTGTAAACAGTGCTGCATTATGAGATTTTTAAAAGCTCATCAGCTATCATTAGTGTATTTTATGTGTGACCTAAGACAATTTTTCTTCTTCCAAGGTGGCCTAGGGAAGCCAAAAGATTGGACACCTCTGTTCCAAAGTATCATTTTTTCCATCAGTGAGTCAAAAAATTTGACAACCCAAAGCGATCTCAGGAGATCACCCAGGCCAAATTCATAATTTTGCAGATAAGAAAATGAGACCCAGAAAGGTAAAGATACTTTCCCAAGGTCACAGAGCTAGCATGCTCAGCACGGCTGCTGTACAAATGGTACTTCCCCCAAGACCATAAATATGCTCATTTGTATACACTGCTTGGACATGATGATGGTTCAGGCAACTGGCTCTTCAAAATGTGATGTGGGAACAAGTGGCATTGGCACTACCAGAAAGGTTGTTAGAAATGCAGAATCTTGGGTCTCACCCCAGAACTACTAAATCATTTTTCACACTTTGATAGGATTCCCAAGGTGACTAGAATGTGTGTTAAAGTTTGAGAAAGGCTGCTCTAAAGAGCACTTAGCTTGAGTTAGAATAATCACTGGTTGGACTTGACCACTAGTGCCCCAGGCCTAGCCTGCATTGCTGTGGGGATATGATTGCTGTGATGGCATTTAATCCACGTTTTCTATCTTTCTACTCCTGGTCTGAGGTCACATTTTCTTGCCATGGAAATGGCATGCCAGACTAAGAGTTAAGATTGAGAACCTAGCAAACAAGAACTGAATATTTTATTTATTTATTTTTATTTATTTTTTTAAATTGGATTTTAGGTTTTGGGGTACATGAACTGAATATTTTAAAAAGTAAAAAGATCAAAATGTTCAACAGCCTTTCCAGCATTGATAACAAAAATAAAGCGACCAGTAAAAGTTGAAAACAACCCCCAATATATGATAGCAGTTGAACTATTCTGTACTTCAATTCCTCTCATTGCCCTTTCCTTGTGTAGCATATTATTTAAATGCATTTAAATTGTCCATTGGTGGAAAAAATATGTATTGTTGAATCTTCTAAAATGTAAGACTTGATTTCCTTAGGTTTTATTTGATGGTTCCTTTTCTCTAGACCTATGACAAAATTATTGGCAGACAAATAGTATGGGATTGGAGGCCAGAAACATGAATCCAACCACTCGCATTAATCAGTTGGATGACCCTGAAGAACTCATTTGGGTCTTGGTTTCCTTTTTTACCTAACGAGGATTGCTATTTTGCTTACCTCAGAAGGTGATTATATAGATGAGATAAGAGAGTGGTGCTCTGAGCAGCAAAAAATGAAAGATTTACTTCCAAAATGTTTCCAGTGTAGTTGAAAAATGGCTGGTGGTGAGACTGTGCCTTTACCACATGTTGTCGAAGTAGGGAGATACTATCATACCCTTCTTCTTAATTTCCTTTCCATATCTCACCCTTCTAATTTCCTGATCTGTCTTCCAGACATCTTCCACTTCCTAGGTGCCCATCAATGAGTTCATTTTTGCCATTCCAGCTAGGTGTCAATTGACAGCTAATATATTGTTCGATAAGGGTTAATGATTGGCTTTTCTTAGGGCATTTACTGTTCATTCAAAGTTTAATGTCAAAGAATCAACTCAGACCCAGCCCCTAGCAATTCTGATTCGATAAGTCTGGGATGGATCCCAAGAATCTGTGCTTTAACAAGCTAACCAGTTGATTTCTGATGCAGGTGGCTCTTGTGCAAAACACTGTCCAGATGAATCTCAAATAATAAAGCATTATTAGCAGTATCACAGAGAAGTAGTGATTAGGAGAGGACATATTTGGAGGTAGAAGTTTGGCTCTCAAATAACCGAATGGATGGTACCCTATTCTGCCTCCACATAAAGCACATGAAGAGTACACACTGTCTTTCACTACTGCTCATCTCTCCCATGTGGTACAGTTCAACAGTTAAGCATGTCAGTTCTAAACCCAAAGTGATCTGGTTTGATCTATGAGCTGTGTGAATCTGAGCAAGTTATTTAGCCTCTTTGAGAATTAGTTTCCAGATTTTAAAATGGACATTATTATAATACCTGCCTTCTAATGTTATGAAAATTAAATGAGATGAAGAGAGATTAGCACAGCTTCATGCATATAGCAGGTTCTCCATACGTTTTTTTTGAGAGAGTTTCACTCTATTGCCTAAGCTGAAGTGCAGTGGCATGTTCATGGCTCATTGGAGCCTCGATCTCCAGGGCTCAGGTAATCCTGCCACCTAAGCCTCCCTGGTAGCTAGGACTACAGGCACATACCACCTCACCTGGCTAATTTATTTATTTTTTTGTAGAAACGAGGTTTCAACATGTTTCCCAGGCTGGTCTTGAACTCCTGGGCTCAAGTAATCCACCCTCCCAAATCCACCTATTTTGGCCTCCCAAAATGCTGGGATTACAGGCATGAACCACTGCACCCAGCCTCCATAAATGTTAGCTATTATTATTGTATAGGTTCACAAGCTGTTATCTGTGTTTTAGCATTTAATTTTTTTCACATTTTTAGAAAGGTAACATGGAGTATATACTGTTTATTATATAATACCTTAAGCAATGTCTGGGAAACATCCCATAATTAAGCCATTAACATTCCTGTAGGAAAAAATGTCTGAATATTCATACTGAAAAGGATAAAGACTAAGTTCATGACAATTCAGGTCAAGTTTTGCTGTCAAATGAGTTTTGGCATAAAATTAATGAAAAAAATTGCTTCAATTTTATAGAGCTTTATAATTTCACAATTGATATAAGAGATTACAGACCTTTATATTATTGTAACCATGTCCTTTGATTGGAAACATGAAATTATAAATTTTCCTTCCTTTCCTTGCCTTCTCTTTCCTCTACTCTCAGAAGTTGCAGAATCTAGTTGAGTTATGTTTCTTTACATATTATGTATTCAAGGTGGTACAGCATTCAATTTTCCTAATCATGTAGCACTGGTGAAACACTTGCTAAGATTATAAGCATTAGCCCAAATGCAAATCATACAATGGCACAGTTGTCAGTGGCAATTGCTTAATCCCTCAAATGAAATCTACCTTGCCTTATCATTTTGGAAATTGTTCTCATTTTAGAGGTCAGTGGCCTTATATTGGATTCCCCTAGAGGATCCTGGGACAAAGCCTGCCAGTCCAGAGGTGTTCCAGACTACAGCCTTGAAGAGACAAGGTGAGACAGAGCCCAAACCTCAAATACATAGGCGTGAGGGATTAGAATTATGGGCTCAGGCAAGGTCTAACACAAAACTGCATACATTTATCTTTTATTTAATAGGTATGCGTTTCAACTACAAAAACAACAAAAAATGTGTTTGGTAAATTATTGGAAGTCATTTTAGTGTTTGTATTTGGTCAGGCTCAAGCCATAGTTAACAGTTTCCTTGAACAGAAAACTACTTTACTCTGGAGTCCCCTGAGATCCCATCTGGAGAAGAGCCTGCAGTACCCAGTTGCTTATAAGAAAGGTTTTTGACTTTACATTGCTTTAATTTCAAACTGTTCTACATAATCTCTTGGAAGAGAAGCTTTGACCTGGGGTCATGCAACTACCCAGAGTGGTTGTGTATTTCACTCTTGACCTCCAAACATTCTGAGGACTACTGTGGCCACAGAAGCTGAACTGAGACATAAATAACTCTCAAGCGGTGACCAGAAGGGCAAGCTGTTTGGACTTGTCTGGAGACCTCGGTATGGGCCTAGCTCTGCCACATGGGCAAGTCACTCGCTCTCTCTGGGCTTGTTTCTTTACCTGTACAATGAAGGCATTGTGCTTCCCAAACTTTAGGCACACATACAAAAATTCTGATTCAAGATGGTTAGCAGAAGACCCCAACATTGAATTTGTTACAGTCCCTCCAGGTGATATTGAAGTAAGAGGCCTTTACATTTTGCCTTGTGAATATTGGGCGACTGACCACACAGAGCACCAACATTTGTCAGAGGTTCTCAAATTTCAGGGTACAACAGAGACCCCTGGAATTTTAACATGCAGATTCTTGGGCTCACTCTTGGAAAGTGTGATTCAGTGCGTCTGAAAAAGACCCTATCATCTGCATTTTAATCAATCTCTGCAGATGATGTGGTAGAAGTTCCCTTGATAGCACTTTCAAGAAATTCTAGGTTGAATATTCTCAAAAGGGCCTTTATGTTTCCAAATTATCTACATTTTTGAAAGTGGAAAATATTTGTCTCCAACAGCAGCCCCCGAAGTACATGATATGTGGATTGCTTGTTTTCATGGCTCTGTCTGAGTCTTCATAGGCCCTTTTAAACAGTGGACTGGGGCAGGTCTGTCTCAGGCACATAACATGTAGCTGGCTTAGGGGTAAGAGAGAGAGTAGCAGTTGAGCTGAATCTGCTCTCAGGGCTTTGTGGATCTTTCTGTAAAGTATGCACTGCTCTCTTCTTCTCTGCCTGGGAATGAGATAGAAAAGCCATCCTTACATCCCCTTCAGAGCTAGAGCAGCCCAACTGAGGGTCAATTTGACCATTGCTATGTCTCAGACTTAAGCTTCAATCTTCCTTCTGGCTGAGCTGGACCCATGGCCTAGCTTCTTGTGAAGTTAAAAGTGTCATGAACACTCTCAATAGTATTTCCTGTTACATTTCCCTAGTTTTCCTTTTTAACATGCCTAATTCTATTAGGGAACCACACTTGTTCTATCATCCTTCCTCCCCACGGGCTTCATGGTCTATGTGGAAAGAGATTTAAATCTCAAAAAATCCACATTATATTCATTATTTCATCCCATCTTTACTGTAATTTCCCAGTTCAGAAAATGAAACACTGAGATATTAAGTCAAGTGAAAGACGAAGGGAAGCTTGGTATGTAAATAATTGGCTCCAAAGGACTCTCATGTGGAATACTTGTTCTTACAGACAAGGAAGAAGCCATCCAAAGATACCGTTGGGAGGATGGGGATCGAGATGCAATGAGTGTCTCCATGAAGTGAGTTACCAGTTCTATATCACTGAGGAATAAGCAGATCTAGGATTACCACCTGTTGGGGAGTTAGAGTAGGGGGCTCCAAGAATCAAAGAAGAAGGGGCATCATGAAGAGAATCTGGTCCTTTCAAACCCATAGATTCTGTAACTTGCCTGAGCACACAGCTAAAAAGTGGGTGAGGAACTGGCTGTTAGTTTTCTGCAGTCTACAATATGACCCTCAGACCCACAGCCAACCTGAATCTTACCCATTATGTTCATCATCACTCTGCTCCTGTTCTTGGAGAAGAGTCAATGACTAAGATATAGCAATGGTGGTTTACCAATACGAGGACTTAATTTGATTTCTCCATTCCCAATGTGACCATAATTTCAAAAAGTATATGCTGTTTGTACATGTGCAATTGTACATGTTTATTTGAAAGTAAATAATTGCAGAAAGAGTAGAAAAATTTTGATCTTCAGATTCCAAATTGTCATATAATGAGCCCATAAATTTGAAATAAAAGGTCTTTTCCTGTGCTTGTGCTCCCTGTTGTCTCTTTTGTCTTTAATTCATTAAGTGCAGTCCACTTAGTGCTGAACACCACTTGCAACTGATGAGATGATGGAACATAGCCTACTTAGATTCGAACTTTTTTTTGGAAAAACTTTTTTTTTGAGGAAGTGGAGGAAAGGGAACCTTGCGCAGTGTTGATGGGATTGTCATTTAGTACAACCACTATGGAGAACAGTTTGGGGGTTCTTCA